CTCTCTGCAGGGATTGCAGCTGCAGGATTACACCCCAGGCATGTATGCCAGGCCTGAGCTGTGCCTGGAGGGGGCAAGGTGAAGTAGATGGAAGAGGAAGCTCTCCCACACAGTCAGCGGACCTGGGCTAGGACTGTGTCTGGGGGTTCCCGGAACTCAGCAGAAATTCCTACTCGGTGGGCCGGGTGGGGGAGGTACTGCGGAGTGGTGGGGGGTGGCCCAAGGGGGTGGGAGAGGGTCCGGCCCATGCTGCGCCTGGGCTGGAACTGGTCCCGCCGGTGCAGGGTACCAGGAAGCTCTCCGCACACTCACCGACCTGGGCTAGGACTGGGTCTGGGGGTTCCCGGAACTCGGCAGAAATTCCTACTCGGCGGGCGGGGTGGGGAAGGTACTGCGGAATGGTGGGGGGCGGCCCACGGGGGTGGGAGAGGGTCCGGCCCCCACTGTGCCTGGGCTGGGACTGGTCCCACTGGCGCAGGGTAGCAGGAAGCTCTCCGCACACTCACTGGACCTGGGCTAGGACTGGGTCTGGGGTATTCATTTCTGTTGTACCTTGCTTTTGTAATGAACTGTCGGCAATCTCTAAAGGCACTAGTCAAATCACTTGGTATTTATTTTTCATGGTAAATATGATTTTTATTGTGGTACAGTAGCATGACATAAAATTTATCATTTTAGCCATGTAAGGTGTACAATTTGGTAAAAAGAATTTTACTATGTGCCTTTATCTTTATAGCTTTCCATTTACAAAGTACATGGGTTTCTATAATTGGAATTATGGCTCTAGAATCATTTCAGTTAACTGGGTGTGAGTTTAGGAAAGCTGGTATGGTAAACCAATTCCCACTGTGCCTTGTGATTCCTGCTGACCAAAGAGCCACATGTCCTTCAGGCCTCATGTACAACCTCTCTGCTGAGCCCTAAGCAGGGACACACAGGGCCTCCCCAGACTGATGCAGGCCCCTGCCAGACCTCTGCCGTCCTCCCTTCTCCACATTCCCTGCACCTGCTTCTAGCTCCTACCTCTTCCTGCTCTCCAGTGGAACTGATATTTAGATGACAACCTAGAGGATCAGGGGAACCTGTGACAGGTTATGGTGATATGGGTGACCTTCCCTTTGGACATGACCAGCTAACTTGACCTGCTGCATTGTCACCATCTGGAAGGTAGTCTCCCTATGGACCTGCTGGCAAGAGCTGTGACCTCAGGAGAAGCCGCCAGTGAGGAGCAGGAGGGAATGCAGCCTGGGCAGCTTCTTCGCTGGTTTCTAATGCAGGACCTTGCTATGGAGTATCTGTAAGCCTTGTTGTCATAGTTTAGTGACCCAAATTTTATTATAGAGCCATCATATGAAGTGTATACATTTTAAAGTATGTTTCAAGTTAATTCATTCTGGCATCACAGTGTTATTGATCTCTTTTCCTGTGGTGCTAGGGACTGAACTCAGGGCCTCATGCATGTTAAGCATGTACTCTACCACTGAGCTACACCCCAGCCTCAACATTTTTTATCTTATCATGGGCTTGGTGACTTAATCTGTATATCCCTTTTCTCTATGTCAGTTTAATATTTATTTTAAAAGATTTTTTAATGAAAACTGTTATTAACCTTTCAAAAAACAACTTTAATACAACCTTTCCCCTGCCAGGCAATTGCTTTGCTGTTTAAACATTTTAAAGGGATGGATTTTTAAAGAAAATATATTTGTTCAGTAACAAAATGAAATAATGTACAAAAATGAACAGTTAGGAGTGAATTATAGTGAGAACATATACTTGATACCAAAAATTAACTTTGTTTTTTTTTAGACAGGCTCTCACTACGTAGCCCAGGCTGGCCTCGAACTTGCAGCAATCTTCCTGCCTCAACCTCCTAAACGTGGGATTGCAGACATTCCCCACCATTCCCGCCCCTGCTCCTGAGCCATGTCTGGTTGTTTTTGAGGGGTTTTTTTTCTTATTTTTTGTAAATGCTAGAGAAACTGACTTTTATGATACTACATGTTTTATTAATATATAGTTAACAATTATCTAAGAATCTAAATTTTAAATGTGTCACTGGTCCAGCTTTAGCCAGTATTGTACTTTAAATCAATATAAAACATCATTGAATTCAAATAGAAGTTTTCTAAGACTGTATATAGAACAGTATTTCTTGAGGAGAACAGTATTTCTACATAACCAGGAGATAGTAATTACACCAAAAAAGGTTTCACAGTTTCAACCTCAGTTTTAACAGGCTGTTACAAGTACCTTTATTCAGAGCTTCCGTAGCCCCTAGCAGTTTACATTCCTTCAAGCAACGGACAAGAACCCATCTAGCCATGCCACACAGCAAACCTAACTGACTGTAGAATCCTGTTTTTATGAATTGGACTCCACAGAACATTTTCAGGTCAACTCCAGAATCTTTGGACAATTGTTGAATATTCTGTCACTATCTGGAAAGGGGAGTGGTCTTTGTTTTTGTGGTTTTTTTTTTTTTTTTTTTTTTTCTTTAGTTGTGGTGATGGTGTTAGTGGTAGGTGTGCTACTGTGGATCAAATTACATGCCTTACACCTGCAAGACAACTGGTCTACCACTGAGTTATACTCCCACCCCCTTGTGAATTTTTCTGTATTATACAAAGAAGTGACTCTTTTAGCATTCATCTTTTAATCATTCTCTAAATTGTTGGGTTTCTTATAGAATAACTCTGGGATTAAAGTCTTAACTTATGTCTGACAAATGTTCTAACAAAGCAGAATAGAGATGTATGACTTTAGCAATAATAGTAATAAGCCACAGTAACATCACATGGCTAATATATCAAGCGCCTAGTCTGAGCATAGAAACTCTTGTGGGGTGCCATTCATGCTCATTTTACTTCTTAATATAAACAGCTGAGTACTGATTAATTTCAGTTTTACAAAAAGGAAGATAGCGAGGAATTAAGTAACCTTCTTAAAATCTCACAGTGTATCAAGGTAGAAACCTATATGGTTTCCCCTCATAAATAAGGTTTTTGAGGAAGGTCATTACTTTTTGTCTTAGACACAGCCAGATCTAAAGTGAGAACCAGGTAAGTAAAATCAGATAGTGTTTGTGCTTTTGTGTCTGGCTATATTTCTGTTTTACATAATTTTCATTATTATTTAAATAAGTACATTTCTTATACACACCATCCCTAACTTACAGTGGTTTATTTGAATATTTTTTGACATTTTGATTGTACAAAAGCCATGTGCATTCAATAGACACTATACTTCAAATTTTGATTTTTGAAGACTACGGATCAATACAGTGTGGTGGCACACACCTAAATCCCCAGCACTGGGGAGGCCAAGGCAGTTGGATTGAGAGTTCAAGGCCAGTCTGGGCAATTTAGTGAGATCTTGTCACAAACAAACAAATAACAAAAGAACTACAGCTCCCAGACAGCCTGTGATCACCAGGGGAAACAACTGATACTTTATGGTACACTGTATTATGAAGCTATATCAGTCCATCTTTGGTAGGTTACCATATTAAATTCATTTTAAACATATAATGTTTTCAATTTAAAATGGGTTTATTAGGACATAACCCCATTGTGCATACCTTGAGGAATATCTGCTTGTCTGTTTTGGAAAAAATACAGTAAATATATAATCCAAAAGAAAACATAAACATATCACCTCTGAGTCCTCCTTGGGTAACCTCTAAAAATAGCTTTATATTTGTCTTCGTTTCCTTTGGCTTGTTATATGTAGGTGCACTGGCACATGCACACACAAAGGCATTTTAATTTGCTGCCTGCTTTTCACTTAGCAAGGTATAAAAACATATTTCTGTGTTCCTAAGTACATTTTCTACATAACCATTTTAGCTATTGGATAATATTTCATTGTGCAGATGTATCTTAACAATAAACAGTTCCTTATTCTTGTACAGTTGGGTTTGTACATGCTTGGGTGCCTTCTGTCTTCTCCACTGAGTCATCAACTATCTTGAATTATAGATTCTTAGCCTTGGCCTGTTAAGCATTTAGCCAGCTCATTTACTGGGTACTTCATAAGAAATATGAGATAGTGAATACCTTTGACAGTGTCTCTTCTCATACAGGACACCAGGGCTCTTCAGTTTGCTTGACACTGTCTGGCCCCCAGTGACGCCTGTTAAAGCCCCTGGCCATAGCCAGCCCTGCACAGAGGTAAGCTCAGCACTGGCAAGCTCCCTGCCCAAGGGAAGCCTCGTGCCTGGGCCCATGCCAGTGCCCACATACTCCACGTCTGTACGGTGGTGACAAGGAGCCCCCCCACCGCTAGTTCCTTTGTCTGTAGTAGCATCTGAGTATAAGCCAGGACTCGGTTGGACGCTCCTAGTGTCATTTGTAGCCCAAGCCCTTGCCACTTCCCCTGCTTCCTTGGGTTACTTTATAGGTTTTTTTGTTTGTTTGTTTTGGTTGTTGTTGTTTTGGTGCTACTGGGGATTGAACCTAAGGTCTTTGCACTAATCTATACCTCCAGCCCCCCCCCCTTTTAAATTTTATTCAGAGACAGGCTTTTGCCAAATTGCCCAGGCTGGCCTCAAACTTGCAATCCTACCTCAGTCTCCAGAGCTACTGAGATTACATGTGTGTGCCACCATGCCTGGCTCAATGATGAATTTTAAACTACTGACCAACATGTCTGCAATAGTCAGGATCTTAACATCTGGCCAGTTAGCTCAGTTGATTAGAGCGTGGTGCTAATAGGATCTTAGCCTTACCAAACCAGATGCAATGTTTTGCCTACCCCGTTCCAATCTCCTAAAATCAATACTCGGTCACCAATGAGCCAATCTGAGTAGCCAGGAATTTTCACTTTCCTGCCACTTCAAATTGTTTACTGCAGTGATTCACAAGCAGCAAAAGAGAAAAAGCTGTTTCCTTCTCTCCATCTTGGACCTTTCTCAGCAGGCTAGCAAATGGTAGCTTTTGGGAGCTACAGCTATAGCTCATAGAAGTGAAAGAGGCTTCCTTCTTTGTAGAGCGGAATTTTTAGTGAGCATATGTGTGACCCTGTCCTGTGCCAAAGAGCAAAATAGTTATCAAAACTGCCCATTTTAAGAAGTAATTTCTATATATTTTCAGTATACTCTGAAGAATGGATTTCTAAAGTGAAATTACGTTTTTCTAGACTGGGGATTGAACCCTAGGCCTCAGACATGCTAGGCAAGTGTTATACTACTAAGCTACATCCCAGCTCCTTTTAGTTTTATTTATTTTTGAGATGGGATTTCGTGAGTTGCTTAAGCTGGGCTTGAATTAGAATCCTCTTGCCTCAGCCTCTTAATTCTTGGATGATAAGGCATATACCACTCTGCCCAACCTGAACTCTTAAGCTGGTAATAAATTCAGAAGTACAGAATTTCTTATGATTGGTCCCAGAAGCAAACATCCTACCCGTGTCCTATATGACCTTCCA